AAAGTGTATAGAGAGAATATGTTCTTTTGGTTTCTCTGGATGGCAGTAAGTTTGTCATCGCTCCGTATGGCTATCATGACGCTCGACCAGTATATTGACCGTAGGATTTCTTATATACCATTCGACATGCCGCGAGCTGTTCTACAAAACTACATATTTGGTTTCTTGATTCAAGAAGAAATGGGGACACCAAATCCGACAGGGTCCTTTCTTTGTTCACTTTGCGTTCTTTTCTGCGTCTGTCAATAGAGCGTCTCAAGTTTTATGAAAAAAAGCATATGCTATCAAATGCACCAAATGGTGAGAACGAAGTCTGTAGTCCCTCTCCAGTACAGTGGGTGAAATAAGTATTCGTACATCACGACAGAGCACGTTTTGTGTTTAAAGAAAGCTGAATGTAGCGGTATGATTTTATAATTAAACTTTTCTCAATTTGATTATGTTTTCGAAAATATTAAGTATTGCTACACTTCATTCTTTTTGACTCCTTAAGCATTTTTTGAACAGATTACATTTTCTCGAGAGCATCATTCGATAATGTATGTTTTCAACTGCACAAGAAGAAAGGTTTTAAAAAATAAAGTTTCTTTGTTTATTCACAAAGGATGAGTTTTATTAAAAAACTTAGAATAGAAATCTAGGAAAATTCAAAATTTTCCATTTTGGAGTACTTACTTTTCTAAGCTGAAAGATCAATCTCTGATGCAAATGAAAAGTCACCAAAAAATTTTACAGTCATTTATGACACTTGAAAAGGAATGAGAAAAAGAGTAAAAGATATTCGATATCATTTCACGTTTCGAGAAAAAGGCGCTTTAAATCCTTGTAGCATCTTTGTTGAAAACGAAAGTTTCTTTTGCAGACTTTGATATTGAAAATTTTTTGTTGAGTCAAATTATGAGAAATGATGAAATTTTCTTTGTATTTCCGTAAGTATCTTAGTATTTTGTAACACTCTGTACATTGGATTTCGGTCGATGCCAATTAATACAAAGTAGTTGATTTGCTTCAATAAAGTTAATAACTTTCGCTTACTGTACATATGGACGAAAAGCTCCTAATTCTGTATGGACTGATGTTCTTTTTTTAGTATGACAGATATATCGCCGAGCATACAGCCGTACACTGCTCAACGTGTAACGTTCAACAGCGCACGACCTTTCGACGACGTCGTGGCAACATTGCACAAGCTTCTCGGTTCATCGAAACCAATCGATTACAAGTCACTCGCCTCTCAGGCCACTGACATACAATCGTTTGAGAAAATCTTTAACTCCGTCATTGGTCCAAGTGGGTTCATATTATTTCTGGAAGTGGATCACGGTGCTTGGTTCAGTCTATTTGACAAAAGCACGCGTAAGAGTCGTATGTTTGTACTGGGAAATCCGTTGATTGCAAGAACGATGCTTGAACATAATCTAACAGCAGGATTACACGTACCAGTGCGTTTGCTTGTGCTGGAGCAGGATCCACACATCACAACCATTTCGTATGATTTGCCCTCATCGTTGATTGCTATTGGTGGTGATAATCCGGCGTTGCTCAATGCGGCAAAAGGGCTAGATGATAAGTTGGAAAAGTTGGCGAGTCAAGTAGCAAATGGAAAATGATCAACCTAGAACACTATGATAATTTTTGTATTGTAGTTTAAAAGATTTATATGTTTTCTTAAATAGACGCTTTTATGTGAATATGAGCTTGTTTAAGCTATTTAATCTTAACATCATTCTGATGTGCTCATAAGAAAGTCTCCCATTCAAGATTTTTACTATTAATATACCACAAACGAAACGACAACAAACTGTGACTAGTTCTTGTGCCCAGATATGAGTCGATGCCTCTAATAATCACCTTTTTCGGGGTGTGGACGATCTTCTTAGTACTCGGTGTGATCGGCCAGCTTAACTGGAAATATCCTTAAAGGACGTACGATAAGAAGATTATCACGATTTTTGCGTTTTCTATTCTAAAATTCAACGAAAAATATATTATTTGAATAAAATGTTAAAATATAGAAACCGAAAAAACCATCATTTTTATCGTAAGTCCTTGAAGAATACGCCAGTGCGTTCCTCTGGTAAGATTCTTGGCATATTATGTGCTTTATATAGATATAAAACATCTCAAGTATAAATCTAAAGTATTTCGCCTCTCCGGATTATCTTTTATTATTATTCTTATAAAATTGCGGTACTACAGTAGCTAAACACTTGATGTTGCAGTATAATTACCACTTTGGATAGAAATCTCGGAAAAGTCAATATTTTTATTCAGAAAGCGTGGAAATTGTGTTTAACAATACGATTTTATTTATAAAAAGTATTGTTTTACGTCTTTTTAAAAGAAATGTTTAGTACTTTACGTTACATAAAACATACTCAAATTGCATTTCAACTAGTGAAGATTTGCTTAATTTTTTTATTTTGAGAAATAAAATTTTTTTTTATGCCATATTATGAGCATAAAATACTCTTTTACCAGGAACCGAGGTCAGACTGGTAAGCAAACTAAATATTCGTTTTAACTTTATATCACAGTATACGTCTGTATTGCTTTGAAAATGAAAATTACAATTCTCGAAACATCGACTTTATTTGTATAAAAAATTTTAATTTAAACCTTAATTAAATAAATATGAATCTAAAGTTGGCTGCTGTTACTAAAAAGGATAGTATATTGTTGCTTTCCACGTCAAATGTGAATTTTATATCTGGGTGAACGGAATTTAATACTTGAATAACATCACTAATCTGAGTAGATGGTTTTACTAAGACAAAAGTATCGCCTACACATCTCAACCATTCAATTACTCGAAATTATTTCTGTTTGTCCATTAATGTTGTTTCTAGGTGAGTCATGAATATATCGGCTATTGCCGGTGCACCCACTGCAACACCGTTGTGTTGTAAATACAGCTTATTATCGAATATAAAATGATAATATACCAAAACATTTACAATCAGGAATCGTGTATTCTGCTAAATGTGGTAACTGCAATGATAATTATGTCGGAAAAATCGAACGACAGTATGCCAGAAGATTATGTGAACACGGAGTCCGAAAGAACAGTTTGATAAGTGTGACGGTAAGGTAGAAGAAAACGGTTCAGAATCACAAGAAAGAGTTCATATTACTCATTCAAACAATATACAAAAAGCCCCCAAGCTCAACCGCTGTCACCTGAGATTCAATTCTTCTAGGCTACTAACTAAAGCACTACTGTTATCCCAGTCAAAAGTTTCTAGTAATTTAGCGAGGAAAAAACCGACAAAAGCGAAGAAGCTTTACAAGAAAAATCCGCTTTAGCAAACCATGAATCTGAAACTCGACACAAAATTGATTGGATGACTTGCAAAATAGTTTGAGAGAATAAGAATCCATATAAATTGCTCATAAAGAAATCACTAGTAATCCAAGTTTATGAACCTTTTCTCAATGTGACAACACCTTCAGTACTAATGATTGTGCATGCAGAAGGTTTGCTAAGATATCTGGTACCTGATCCCAATGCTTGAGCTATACAACAGTTAATGAATACAAATACATGCAACTTAATACATTTCGTTTTCTTCATTTATATTCAGTATTTCTTATATGGATTTAACTTGCCGATTTGCAGCTGTACGCCAGTCAGTTAATCATTTATTCTTCCAGTTAAATTGAACTATTATTCCCTTATGTAAACTTTCTATACGATAAATTCTACGGTAATCGTAACCACAATCGATTAATTGAACGTTACGTTCGATCCAAAATTTGAAGTTTCGAGTGTCTCTCTGAATATGTTAATAGTTTCTTGTGAATATTTACTTTCATAGAAATAAGAAACTGTCAATTGAGATCTATTTATTTTTGTTGATGACAACAACAGATTATCAATTTGCATCAAGAAGATCAAGTGATCGGTCGCTGTCAGACGTTATTTGTAGTTGTGTTAATTCTGAAAAGATCTGTGTACTGATAATTGAATATGTTCAAATTTTATCTCTGATCCATGAATAGGCAATAAATTTAAATATAATTTTAAACAATTTTGTAATTTTAGCGAAGTAGATAATGTACAACGATGAATAACAATATCGCTGTATAGAATCAAATTCATTTCAATTGTTGTGAAAATGTTGCTATGTGAAACCCTTTTAGGTTTTCGACACTACCTTTCAAGTGGGTTTTCGAATAGACCTGTGGGCCGCGCCGCTGCCGCCGAAGGCGTCAGAATTTTTTGGACCAAGTCGCCGCCGCCGGTGGATAAGTTAGATGTTTGCGCAGCCCCAAACGTGTCAGTTTAGGACCAGAAAATTTGGGTAAGATACAATACATACATGATAATTACAGTATGTTTAAGGATTAAAAACAGAGCAGCTTTTTTCTTGGTATTTTTCTGCTTAATACTGTTAATACTCTTCTTTCTTCAGATTTTTTCGATAATAGTGAGACAAAATTGAACTTTAGATTTTGATTGAAAATAAAATAAAAGTTTGATGAACTTGACAATGGATCTTGGTTTAAACTAAAGCTTTTTGTACTCAAATTTGGTTGTGGTTGACACCCCCGCTGACGATGAAAATCTTTAAATAATCTTTCAGCCGCCGCCGCCGATTGAACATTTTCTTTTAGCCGCCGCTGATTCAAAAACTTCTGTTACACGCCGCCGCCGATTTTCCGACCGGCGCACAGGTCTATTTTCGAATCGAAAACGCTTTTTCTGATCGCATACCATTTTTTTTGTTCAGCCGAATTTTGTCTTCAAATACTCTTCAAAAGAGTTTTTGAAAAAGTATTTGAACTCTCGAATACCCAACAGTGTTTCGTATAATAACATTTCCGAAAACCCTTGAAAAAGGTTTTCGTGAGTTCTAATATCCTTTCAAAAACCCTTCTTATTCGATTTGTAAACTTGTTCTCAGAAACCTGTTCAAGCTGCGTTTCCGAAAAGAAACTTTTAAGGTGCCGCTAATTCGAAGTTTCCACATCATTATTGTTTGAATTAAACACACATGGTTGGATAGCCCGGAATCTGCGGATCACGAATATCTTACTTTAAGCCCTCGCAGTCCACGACTTCAGGGAGGAAAATTCAAAATACTGAGAGAGTCTCTTTTTTTGAAAAATCACTCATGTTCAAAAAACGTCGAATATTTTTGTTGCACTTCATTTGAGAAATCCACGAAGGTGTTCTTCGGTACCAGCATAAAAAAATGATCCTAGAAATGTTGTCTGGAGCTTCGTCGCATATGATGGGGTCAAAATAAAAATATTTTTGTACACATAGCTCCAAAATCGCCAACTGATTTTGCAAACCTATCTAGTCCCTGGCTTAAAGAGATACATCCTCGGTTCATATGCCATTTGAATCGCCATTCAACGGAGAACAATAGTACGGAGAAATTTTTCAATACTCTTCTTCACTGTCGAGAACTATCACTTTTACTATAAGTGGAGCTAAAACGGCCAGGTCATGTTTTTAGAAAATTTTTAGTTTTTATTCGAAAAATCTGAAATTCACATCGAATACATAAAATTTCATGTAGAATTCGATGACAATATCTACGAAGCTTTGGGAAGGTTTCTAGAGGTTTTTTATGGGTTTCTTAGAACACTGTTATCCTTAAAATACGATGTTGTGACAACCATCGTTTTCGTAAAAGAAAATCAGAAAAGCTGCAACTACTTATTATCAGTTTGACCGATCGTTATTTTTCGGTGAGAAACTACAGTGTCTTTAACTTACAAAGTGAACTAAAATACATAGTCAGTACTTGGTTGTAATCCTGACCGTCAGTATAGGCTCGTAGAGATCGCCAATATCGATGAAAAAGTTTTAGAGAATTTTTTTTTTCTACAAAATTCTGTTTTGATTCCGGAATCAAAGTTATCGTTCGATGAAGGGTTTGATCATTGTGCTTACGTACATATCCCTTGAGATGGCACAAATATCCTTCCTTTGCGAAATAATCCATCCTTTGTTTTGCGAATATCTCTGCACAGGCAAATGACAAAATCTTGATTTTTTTTCAAAAGATGCGTCGTGAAAAGCTCTACAGGACTGTAAGAACAAATCCTTATTGACTTGTTCGCATGGTTTCGTCCATAATCGAAAGGAAAAAATAATACATGATAGTGCAACTTCCCACCGTGGAAGACTGTTATATTTTGCATGTATCTCAGCTTAAGAAAATGGTAGCACCTTGATTTTTTTTCAAAAGATGCGCCGTCGAAAGCTCTATAAAATCTGTATAAATAATTCTTATTGTAAAACAAAAACGTCTTCCAAACATTTTTATTATCATTTTGTCGTTTTTTTTTATGTCATTAGAAAATTTAAAAGAACGAAGGATTGTTTGTTCGTATTATGACAAGAATTATCGACAGGTCTGTTCAGATATTCGTAGTCACACAGAGGGAAGTTTAAGCTAAGAAGCATTAAAAGAGAAACTCGCTGTATAGCAGAATGCATAGACATTGATTGAATATTTACTCAACGAAATGAGAGAAAGAAAAGAAAAAAATATTATGAAAAAATATACCTCCGCGGCCGTCTTTGGCAAATAACTTCTTTCAACGTATTGTCCCTACCCCAGAATACAAAAAAGGACAGGTTTCTTTTCTTTCTTGTCTATATAGAGTGTCAAGGCTTCAAGATCTCATACAGGTGAAAATTATCAGCAAATATTAAGGTGGATAGCAGAAATTGAAGTAAAAATGTAAAAAATAAACGACAACAACGAGGCAGGACACGTATGCAAAGATGACAGTTTACCTATAATGTTCGACAACTTTCCTACCTAAGAAAAAATTTACATTCTCATCCTTATTATCTCACCGAAATTGACGATGGTATACTTTCTTATTGCCGATTCGCTGACTTTGACATTGTTGGTCATACTCATACCTTTATTTGCTTACTATCTGTGAGTATTTCTATATCACTAAATGCATCCTGGTTTGGAGTAAACGTTGGATCCTACTATCTCAGCTACAACTTGCGCACAAATAATATATTTCGTCGTTTCGGTATTCCCGGGCCTGCGCCGATTCCACTATTTGGCGAATTTTACAATGTCATTCGAAAGGTACAGAGCACGTTTTGTTCGAGTATATACTGTACATCAGAGTTGTCATTTTTTCGTAGGGCTTATATCAAAACGATGTGGCGCTTGTCCAAAAATATGGAAAAATTATTGGGTAAGTGAAGGCGATGATGACGATGTCTTATTTTCATTTTTATTTTCTTTCTCGCAGAGTCTTTGAAGGATCAACTCCGATGATTCTTCTATCTGATCCAGATCTCCTCCGCAAAGTTCTCATCAAGGATTCTCATATTTTCACTAATCGACGAGTATGTGCACACGTACAGACAGTATTTTTACCAGTCTTTTTTCCGGAATATTTGTTATAGATTGTCGCAAACGTATCGGGCCCTCTGGAATACGGACTGACGGTGCTGAAAGATGATACGTGGAAGAATGCTCGAGCAATTGTTTCGCCTACGTTCTCGACAGCCAAACTCAAAGAAGTGAGTGTCCATTTGTGGGGCTATTGCAACGTTTAGCACCTGTTATCAAATAGATGTATGGCTTAATTGATCAAATCGGAAATATATTTACCCAGCGTCTCTTAGAATATGCCGATTCACAAGAAATGTTCGATGCTAAACAGTATGTATATCGGCCTCCGCTTTTGTATTGCATAATCAAATCTGAGTATATATTTTTTTCTATAGCCTGAATGGGCAATATACACTCGACAATATTGCTTCATGTCTATTCGGTCTCGAAACTAATTCGCTTCAAAATGAAAATGCTACTCTAATCAATCATTTGAAAAAATTCTTTACACTAGGCTTGACAAATATCTTCGTGCTCATTTTTTGTAAGCATATGATGAATGAGGCAAAAGTCTGTTATTGTTGTTGTTAATTTCTTCTGAATAGTTATTTCGCCTCGCCTAGCTAGTTACTTAGGCAAGAAAGGTTATACACTGATGCCCATGGACGCTATGGACTATTTGATTGTGTTGATCAATCAAGTGTTGAAACGACGTCGTCAACATCTTGAAAAACGAAATGATTTCATACAAATAATGGTCGATCATGAAGAGGAAGTCAAACGCGAAGTAAAGACGGATCAACAATCGTACGACGACGGTCAACAACAACCGTCGGGCAATTTGAGTAAAAGTAAATATCTGTAAATTTGAGATGATTGTGAATATTCATATTTTCTCTGTTTTAGCACTGAATGATAAGGAAATACTCGGTCAAGCTCTTGTTTTCATGATTGCTGGCTATGAGACAACAAGTGTTTTACTCTCATTCTTTCTCTATGTCATGTCAACACAACCAGTCATACAAGAGAAAGTATACGAAGAAATTCGTCAAGAATTCGGAGATGTATGTGAGAATAGTAATAAGAAAACGATCGATATGATAGTATTCTACCTGTATTCAGGACGAGATCACTTATGAGAAGATTGGTCAACTTCAATATTTGGATATGGTCATCAATGAAACTCTTCGCATGTATCCACCTTTCATCAGGTTAGTTTTATTTCTATGATTTTCTTTGTTTTTCCATAGTTATTTTGCAGATTCGATCGTGTCGCATCGACTTCGTATGAACTTGGTGGGTATCCGCTGCCAAAAGGAATGATTGTAAGTGTTCCCGTTTATCCGTTACATCATGATCCAGCTGCCTGGCCGGATCCCGAGAAGTTTATTCCCGAAAGGTAAAGTAAGATTAGTCCCTGATGTTCTTTTCTTCTTCATCCCATGTGAAAATACTTTTATAGATTTCTACCGGCAGAAAAAGCTAAACGACACCCGATGATATTTCTTCCTTTTGGTGATGGACCTCGGTAAAAAATGTCATTCATATACCGACAGGATGTTGACTTCTTTCATCGGCTTGTTTTTTAGAAATTGCGTTGGCATGCGATTCGCTCTACTCGAAGCAAAAATAGCCATTGCCAAAGCGATGCGTGTGGTCGAAATACACAGTTGCGAAAAGACAGAGGCAAGTAGTATCTAGTTGTTATTCATTCATCATTATACTTCTCTGTATAGGTTCCTCTAAAATTGGGCAATCTAGGAGTTTTGGCTCCCAAAAATGGCATTTGGATACGTGTAGCTCGCCGATCCCAGTAATGATGGTGTGCATGTATATCTGTTGTGAGCTTTACTTTTATTAGTGTTTGTCCGGTTCTTATTTGCTAAACTTTTATTTTCCATTTTTGTAAGCTTTCTGCTTTTTTATTCTTTTGAACAAAGAATGAAGAATGTGTCATATAAAATATTGTATAAATGTTATCAAGAAATATGATTTTTCAGCGCAAGTCCGATGCGGACAAACTGTGTTTCTGTTTTCACATGTCCCTGTCTCTTTGCAATTCTATCTATGAACGGTTCAACGAGTAGAACTGTCAGAATCTGATCGATCGATTTTGTGTTTCATTTTTGAATAGGGGTGGTGCGTTCCCGCTTTTTTTTCCCAAAAAGAAAGAAAAGAAAAGTATAATATGGCTTTCTTTTGGGGGTTTTCTTTATGGAGAAAGCACTTTGAAGTAAAACCAAGCTCATGTTCATGAGCAGCGTCGAAACTGAATCCAGTGATATGCTGTGCGAAAATTTTTTTTCTAAAAGTCTTCGCCAAACACATCAGTCGATTCAGGTTCGACACTGATCATGAACATGAGCTGGGGTTTACTTCAAAGTGCTTTCTTCATAAAGAAAAACACAAAAGAAAGTTATATCATACTTTCTTTGTCTTTCCTTTTGGCAAAAGAAAGCCGGAAAGAAAAAGCTTTCCTCTCTTTTGGGAAAGGAAAATTAGTTTTTACTTTTATTTTCTGGGAAAGAAACGACAAGATGTCACCCCTATTTTTGAGTGTCAGATACGTTTCTGTTCTTTAGCTATATGATTTCTTTGGGTCAGTTTTTATTGCTTTTCTTTCAGATGTCGTCGATGTGGTAGTGAAGAGTGTTGTTCAAGTACAGGCACATTTTTGTGTTAAACATTGTCAGCGCTATGTTTGTTTCGATCATTTCCAAGAATATCATCGTTTCCAAGAACAAGAAAGATATGACTTACAAAAAGAACGTCGTCGACAAGTTCCTCAACGCGCTCTACTCCATCGTAGGTTTGCTGATGAAGCGAAATTAAACGAGCAAGAAAAACATGATATAGAAAAAAGTCTGTGCTGAAATCCGACGCGTATGTGAACAGCGACGATATGATTCATATAGGATCAATGTAAACAATGTTACTTCACATGCTCGCATGAGCGTAAATCAAGTCCTATCTACAAAGTTATCACCATATGACTACAGGTAGCGCCTATAGTGTGCAAAGGCATTCTTCGACAACGAGATCTATCATTCACTACACTCTTTGGATTTAATAATGTATCGTTCAATAGAAAATTTCATATTGCATGCCCGTTTAATAATGATACAAAACATGCGTTCGATTGTGAATCAAACCATATTCTTAAGGGTACCCCGCTCTTTTTTTGTAAAAGTTTCTGATTTTGAGCTAAGCATAATCTAATGTAGAGGAAAGTGTGGGCTACAAAATGAGATCACTCCCAGTACTCCATGACCTTTTTTCAAAAAGTTATGTATTTTTGAAGTTTTTCCTTCAAAGCCCAAACAAACTTTTTGAGTTTCATAAGTTTTTCTCTGATCTTCTGCACATTCAATTTTTTCCTTACACATAGTCTGATAGAAGAAAGTATTTTCTTCATAATGAGACATTTTACAGAATTTTCCGATGAGTTTTCGCGAGGATATAAGCATCGCGACAAATACTCTGGAAAAAGTGACCTGTGTACAAAATGTGTTTCTTCTCGAAAACTTTTTTTGCTACCAGGCTTCCCTGTGCCACATTACGACTCCGCCTTAAATTTCGTCCGATCGAGTTAAGAATTTTACCAGAGGTACTCAAGACACTATCGCAGAGCTATTTTTTTAAATTTTCGTTTAAACTTTTCTTTATCGGGTCATAGGGTTTCTAAATTGAAAAACTTGGTTACTAAGACGTTTTTCAGTAGTTTTTCTATAACTCGGTAAAGGAAGGTCTAAAAGAAAATTCGAAAATTATACCTCTGCGATATGATCTTGAGTACCTCGGATAAATTTTTTAACTCTATCAGATGAAATTTAAGGGGAATCGTACTGTTGCGCAATGAAAAACCGAGTTTTCTGGAAAACTGATGAACGGCAATAGTTAAAAACTTGAAACAGAAACAAAAAAGTGCTCCATTGAGTTTCCAATCAGTTCTGAAAATATGAAGCCTTAGTGGCTTTTAGTTGTTGTTGTTTTTTTATATAAGCTTTATTCTATCAGAATACAAGCGGTAGAATATTCCATTATAGTATTCTAAACTAAAACTATCGAAAAACACAAAATCAATTAGAGATTCGAATATGTGAACTTAGCTTTGTAGTAAACTACAAAACTAAATTCACCGTTCTGTATCTATATTCATAGCCAGCAACTCATAAACTTTAAAACCTGTCTCACAAAGTGATTTGTTCCAACACCCGGTTTCTTCATACACTTATACTATATTCAAGTTTAGGTATGATGCTTATTGAAGTAATACCTATTGAACAGCGGTTCACTGCTATGACACTTAGTTTTGAACAAATGGATTTATATTCAAAACAAATAGAAAAATTCATATCTCCGTCCAGAAAAGTACGTAAGAGCTCAAATTTCTATTAACGATCAATCAACGTTCTTAGTATCATCGTCGACGTTTCGGTAGAAGAACGAGGTCAAATGTTGATCAGACAAAGAGACTTTGCCTACATTTTGCTGTGATTGTTGTTGACTTGTATCGAGCAGAATTTCATTCCGTGGTATTGCTGATATACGGCAGCTAACAGTTACTAGTACTATTCGAAGAAGAAGGAATAGTCATTCTTTTGTCAGATTTTGTGAATAATAGAAAACTACTGAACAATTTGCTGGTTATATACTAAAGATTTACCCTTAATTTATTTTCCGAACTTTTAGATGAGTTTATAATGAGTGTTTACCGTCTCGGCTTTCTATAATCGTTATGTGTCAACAGTACTTTGACTCATATCAGAATCGTGAAAGGAGAAAAGGAGAAGAAAGATAAGGTAGCCAAACAGCACAACATATCGGAAGGGAATAATAGATTAAAGCGTAAGTGTCGAAACATATTTCTTTTTGCTTTTCATTTCTGTTTTTACCTGCTTATGAGAAAGAAATCAGTGACCCCATTATTTTGAATTGCTTAACAGGTATAGTTAGTTTCTTCTCAAAACAAATGGCATCATTCACTGCTCCTGGGCGAAAATTAGCATTGACTATTGGTATTAATAAATATCCTGGTGGTTCCAAATTAAAGTACTGTATAAACGATGCAAGAGATATAGGAGAGAAGTTGAAAAGTATCGAATTTCACGTTAGCCAAGGTATTGATTGCAACTATGATGAATTTAAACATCGGCTTAATGCATTTGTTGCAGAAATTAAACCAAGAGATTTAATATTATTTTACTTTGCTGGGCATGGCAATCAGTTTGAGAAAAAAAATTACTTGTTACCGTCCGGTTACAACTATGATCATCGTACTAATGAGCGACTTTATATTGAACAAAAGTCCATCAACGCTCAGCACATACTTCAAAAAATAGAAGTTAAACATCCTCACATTATTATATTTATATTAGATTGTTATAGAAGCTCTGTGAAAAGTCGTTCAATCAACAGTCAACAAGATTTAACAAAAATACAAGGACCATCTGAGTTATTGATTGCATTTTCTTGTGGCTTTAAAGAAGGTTCAACAGATGCAACACAAAACAAACGAAACGGCATATTTGCTGAACATTTGTTAAAATATATCACAACACCTAATCAAGATATTGAAACGATATTTGAAATTGTTGCACGGGATGTTAAATTAAAAGGATTTCCATTACTGTGGCGCACAAGTTGTCTGACAGAAAAAGTCTACTTGGTGGCAGAAAATAACAAAGGTAAAAACGTATTCTTCAAAACCTCATTAGCTTAGACTGCGGTTAAGATTCTTCCACTACGTGAGAAAAAAGCTTGATAGCGCAAAAAAAAAACGCTTTTACGTACGAAAAGTCACCCAAGAGTGCTCTTGAGAGCATGGATCCAAACTTAATTTTATCTTTTCGTATTTATCACTATCTTTCGTTTAACCTGTTTGAAGGGAGATGTCGCTATAGTTAATACTGAGTATTAGAACCAACGTGAGCGTGAGAAAATATGTTGATGGCTACGACATCTGTCGATAAAATTTTCGGGCCATTCATGTCAGACTCGTACATAATATATATTCACTGACTTACTTCTACGTAGTTAAGTTTGAAGGATTCGACTATCATCAGTACTTACGAGAGAGTGAATAAAGCAATGAAAACCTGTAAAAAGTTTATCCACACTTGCTCTATGTATTCTCCAAAGATGTTAAACTACTCTGTCCAGTCATACCAACACTGAAATGTGTCAGAAATTTATTTTAATCCGTGAAATGTTGTAGGATCACCAGCAAATCTCCAAACAAACACCTCTAGCTTCATACAGAAGCTTTGGTAAACTCCTACATTTATTCAGTTTTTTATGCACTTTCCAATCACATATTTGAAAAGCTATGTAATCTGTTTTGATGAGCTGTTGTTTTCACTTTAAGAAAAATCAATTTTATAATTCTAAACTAATGCGGATAAAACAGAAATTTTTTTTCTAAACATAGTCCAGACATTTCTCTACAAGAGATGGTCATTGAAAAACTTTTCATCATACAAACCTACCACCAAACAGAACTTTTGGCTTCAAACCGGTAATCAAAAACCAACGGTTTTTTAGAAACCTACTTAATAAATTGTTAAAAGTTTGTCGAGACATCCAGCGCAAAATGAGCATGGTTTAAAACCCTTAAGTAACTAATTTCATTCTGCAGAATCCTTATAGTTCTTCGTAAAGAAACAAACTGACACCTTTTCATGCAAACCGACTATAGTATCACAAATTTTTATTGTTCATAAACAATTTACTATTGCTGACGGACGCCATTATGCCGCCACAATATAGCAACTGGTTTAAATGCCATTCGTT